TGGTTAGAGCTGAGGCACTGAGGCAGAAGAGGCAGTGCAGGGCAGTGGTTTGAGCTGAGGCACTGAGGCAGAAGAAGCTCTTTTTCCACTTTCCTCAGTTCTCCAGTTCTCACAAACTGTGAAGATGCCTGCAGGTTTGTAACATAAATAGTATTAACTTACATCAGAGGCACAGCACGTTTGTGCTTCTATAGAATATTTTGAATGTTTTCCATGATATTTTTATACTTAAATTTTAAATAAATTTCCAGACAAGTGGAAATTGTCCAAGTTTTGGCAGAAGTGTAGGACCCAGTGTGTTCTTGTATCCATTACGTGTAGCCGTTAATGCCAAGAAAGCAGGAGCTTATTGAGGATCATAACCCCAAACCCTATTCTCTATGGTCAATTAAACAGGAGACTTGTTAAGCAGAGATAATTTGGCACCAAAATATGAGTGTCCTTCAACCCTCAAGGACAACATTTCTCTTAAATGAATAGATCGCTTGCTTATGTGATTAATAACAGGGCTTTCCAATTTTCAGAAACAGGTGATCTATAATGCTGTTATCTTGGGCCAAACCGCAAGCCCTCTATACACTGCTAAAACAATCATAATACACCCCTAACAATCCCATCAGAAGTAAAATTTCTGTCAACTTTATGAAAAAACTGGATTGTCTGCTATCAATATGCAAATATAATAACTGTATAATACACTCAGAAACTGTCACACAAGTGTCAAAAAGTTGCAAATACACTGGTAACACAGGATGAAAGACTGCATAATACCTTCACCAGGAACAAATTTTATTTCACTTTCTTCTTTAGTCCAAAGAGAATTAATAAAATTAATAAAACAACTGCTGATCTTTCAGAATCTGGAACAGCTTCAAATATTAATTAAAAGGTTTTTTTGCATATTTAATTTCTAACTAGTTTTGCAGAGCTCTCAGGATTAAAGACAAAGAGCTTTTCATAAACTTTTAGAACATTTGCAACTGCAGATCATGCACCATGTCATTTCAGTATTGAACTGAATCCCGACATCAGTTTTCACCCTTTCAGAAATGTGAGAGAGGTGCTGAGTGGTTTTTCTCACTGAAACTACAGCTGAGTGGCCCCAGTAACTCCAGATCACTAATAAGTTTGCACCTGCTGATGTAGGCAATGTTGCAAACACTGGACACTGGATAACCAACAGAATTGTGGTGTGCTGACCTCTGACCCTTGACCCTGCACTGCAAGACTGTCCAATCCTAGCCCTGGAGGAGGTAGTCTAGATCTCTTTACAGCAGTAGAATCTGAACAGTCGGGAAAAAACTGATTGAACAACCCTTTTATGGAGCCTTGTTTCAATTAGCTCTTGATTAAGAACTAGAAAACAGGGCTGGATTGTCTTTGTATCCACTTAATTGATTCAATTAATTCATTAAAGTCTGAAATGGAATACCAGGAACAAATGAGTCAATCCAATGCTATTTATTTTTAACACTTTTTGAACTCTAGAATTGAAGTGTTAGAGAGTTGTGTGATTGCTTTTTTAGATGCTGGGCTTCAGAATTCCTTTCATGTAGAATTGTGCGAATGACCACATGGAATTTAACACATGAGTCTAGACATCACTAAGAATGCTTATTTATGGGAGTGTTTGACACAGCGTCCTTCCCACCTGCCTCTGTACATCAGTGATAACCACGTTGGAGCTATGAAGAGCCGCAATTTTAAACCAGGATGAAACACAGCACTGTTTGAGATATTTGGAATATACAAACAGGAAACACTTGGTTAGACTAACCATTTTCTCATTGGAAATGTGTTGTGAATGAATACAGTTCCCTGAAAAAGTATTCACCCCCTTTCAGATTTTCTGAATTGTTGCATAATTTTGCCAGTGAATGTTATAATAAATTCGTGTGAGCGCCTACTAGTCCTACTCCTACATAAAAGGAGTCTGAATGAACAAATACCACCACAGTTTGCTATTTGGTTGTTTCATTTATTAAATAAGCAAAGCCATCCAACATCCAATGTCCCCTGTGAAAACGTTAACGCTATCACAGTTCAATCAACCCAATTAACGCAAACGAATCTCTGAGAACATTCAGTGTCAAAAATATGTAAAGAATCAGAAAATCGGAAAGGGGATGAATACTTCTTCACAGAACTGTACTGCGTTTGCTAACAAGTGTAAGAGGCTGTTACCAGAGAGCACTGTAATTAGTATGGCTCTTTAAATTGGGAGCTGCCCAGGGGTATCTGTCACAGTTGTTTGGCAGACAGAACGTCTGCTTCACGAGCACACGGTCCTGGTTTCAGTTCCAAACCTGCTCTTTGGCCGCCTGCTTCCAGAAAAACCTTTTGCTTTTGTCTTAGCTCTCCCCCTTCCTTCACTATCGATCAGATAAAAAAAGGTCAACCCAAGGTGTGCTTTTCCGATATATGCCGTCTGCACTATTTTTCCCCCTCAAACGATGCACTTTTCCGTGATGAGTAATGCCCTGAAAGTCCCTTATGATTTCTATAAAAAAAAAGGTGCACTGGGGACAAAAATCTTCAAGAAAGAAAAGGAACTAAAGAAGCAAACGTGTGGAAGAACAAAAAACAATGACGGACACATTCAGAAATCATCTACAATATCCGAATAGGACAACACCATGTGCTAAATACATCTTCTTCGGATGCTATAGGCAGTCTACATTATTTTAAAAATACAATGTAAATGGCTTTTTCTGACTGTGTTATATTGTAAGCTATTAAGTGGTTGTGGTATGGAATGTCATATGAATATCATGCAAGCTCTACAGTGGGTCTTACTTTGTGTATATTAAGAATACTGAAAACGACTCTTTTTCTATCCCCTCTGGTTAAGAACACAAAACGAAAACCAGTTTTGCTTTTAGGCATGAGCTCAGTAATAATCCCTTCTGTCTTTCTGCCTGAGAAACAGGGAGTGCTGCAGTGTCTGGGGCTATGATCACTGCTGCAGAAGACCCCAGTCCTGATCGTCAAACCCACTGCAATCAGACAGTTCAGACTCCAAACTCTCAGCTGTATGATCTACTTTGGGTGTGGCGAGCTGTGGGCTCTCTCACAAAATGGACAGAGCAAGCACAGGTGAAACAGTGTGTATTTTGCCCCAGGTGAGGGCATCTGTGACGCAAGTAATTCTGGGAAATCTTTCACAATATCTGTGAAAATCAATTTAATGCAACAAGGCTGGAAAAGCCAGCATCTTCCTTGGTAAAAAAAGAAACACTAAAATGCATCCTCCAGAATCTTCCATATTCCCATAACATCCTGCAAGACATATTTGGAATTTTGATGATGTATTCCATTCATCCATCCATTACCAGAAAACTGCTTCTGGCAAAGATCAGGAACACCGTATATCCATCAGGAAAACTGTTAGTGCTCAAGCAGAGACTATATTCTGGAAAAGAACCCCAGGTCACTGCAGAGTGTACACTCAGGGACAATTAATAGACATCCATAAACCTAGCCAGAATGCTTCTGGAAGCTGGGAGAAAACCAGAGCACCTGGAGAAAATCCATAAGAACTCAGGAAGAACATGCAAACTCCACCCAGACTGGAATTAAACCCATGAGCCAAGGACTGTGAAGCAGCAGCAATAACCACCATCAATAAAATATAGTAAACAAGACAGCTTGCACATAAACCTAAGACCTGCTTTTAGTCAAACTAAATTAGAAGACTACTAAGCAACTGGAGTCTCCTTTGTCTCACTGCACTATCATAAACATTCTTACGAACAGAAAAGTCAATAATCTCAAAATATATCCGATTGTCCACTATGAGTTTATACACATTACGCTTTCTACAACAAGGCTTAAACTGTGGACCTAAAGTGTTATGGAGCTCATGTTTCATAAGATGTAGTATTGGGCAGAAGGCAAAAAGACAACACTGTTTTCTTCACCTGTCAGCTTTTTCCAAGTTAAATATGTCGTTCTTATTCTCCTCATACCATATTTGGAGATGCATGCTCCGAACTGTCCCCTCCTCCCATTGTGAAACTGCACTATAAAGTCCTCAATTCCATTTTGGTCTATAATTGCATCCATTAATCCTTTATATATGATTGATCAACCTGTCCTGTGATGAGATTTTGAGCCCATGAGGGCTTCGTTAAACTTGAGTGAAATCCATTTATTGTCTTCGGCGTCGGTATATTTCACTCTAAAGCTGGACTGGGACCTCTACTTATGATGAAGGACAGAAAAAGAAA